TTAGTTATTAAGTATCTGTGGCTGCTAGTCCCGCAGCCAGAAGGAGACATGCTGCACCAGCTGGCAGTGCTGCTGAGGAGTGGGTAGCGCCTCATCGCCAGAGGCCAGATATCTCATCCTTCACTGCAAATCCTGGTATCAATTGTGGATGTCTCAGGATTTAGCCCCCAAGAATTTATGGAGGTGTTTCTGGGCGATGATATATTGGGGAACATTGTTGCCCAAACTAATTTATATGCCCATCAGTTCCGTGTTGCAAAGCCTGACTCTTTCTTGGCAATGCAGCAATGGGCCCCCATCAATGTGCCAGAATTGAAAAAAATCTGGGAATTAACTATGCTGATGGGCATCATAAAGAAGCAGTAGCCCCATCTGCTCTACCCCATTTACTCCCAGTGTATGTCGAGGAAGAAGCATTAAATTATTCTATATTTAAGCACTTCAGTGATAACAGCCTGTCCTCCCCCCCACCCCCCAGAGAGCATCCCCAGTTTGGCAGGCTGTATAAAATCTGCCCCCTGATTACCCACTTGCCTGCCAGGTTTGCAGAGGCTTATTCACCTGGAAGGAATATATGCGTGCATGAATCCCTGATGAAGTATAAGGGAAGGCTGTGATTCAAGCAGTACAGGGAGTGCAGAATTATTAGGCAAATGAGTATTTTGACCACATCATCCTCTTTATGCATGTTGTCTTACTCCAAGCTGTATAGGCTCGAAAGCCTACTACCAATTAAGCATATTAGGTGATGTGCATCTCTGTAATGAGAAGGGGTGTGGTCTAATGACATCAACACCCTATATCAGGTGTGCATAATTATTAGGCAACTTCCTTTCCTTTGGCAAAATGGGTCAAAAGAAGGACTTGACAGGCTCAGAAAAGTCAAAAATAGTGAGATATCTTGCAGAGGGATGCAGCACTCTTAAAATTGCAAAGCTTCTGAAGCGTGATCATCGAACAATCAAGCGTTTCATTCAAAATAGTCAACAGGGTCGCAAGAAGCGTGTGGAAAAACCAAGGCGCAAAATAACTGCCCATGAACTGAGAAAAGTCAAGCGTGCAGCTGCCACGATGCCACTTGCCACCAGTTTGGCATATTTCAGAGCTGCAACATCACTGGAGTGCCCAAAAGCACAAGGTGTGCAATACTCAGAGACATGGCCAAGGTAAGAAAGGCTGAAAGACGACCACCACTGAACAAGACACACAAGCTGAAACGTCAAGACTGGGCCAAGAAATATCTCAAGACTGATTTTTCTAAGGTTTTATGGACTGATGAAATGAGAGTGAGTCTTGATGGGCCAGATGGATGGGCCCGTGGCTGGATTGGTAAAGGGCAGAGAGCTCCAGTCCGACTCAGACGCCAGCAAGGTGGAGGTGGAGTACTGGTTTGGGCTGGTATCATCAAAGATGAGCTTGTGGGGCCTTTTCGGGTTGAGGATGGAGTCAAGCTCAACTCCCAGTCCTACTGCCAGTTCCTGGAAGACACCTTCTTCAAGCAGTGGTACAGGAAGAAGTCTGCATCCTTCAAGAAAAACATGATTTTCATGCAGGACAATGCTCCATCACACGCGTCCAAGTACTCCACAGCGTGGCTGGCAAGAAAGGGTATAAAAGAAGAAAATCTAATGACATGGCCTCCTTGTTCACCTGATCTGAACCCCATTGAGAACCTGTGGTCCATCATCAAATGTGAGATTTACAAGGAGGGAAAACAGTACACCTCTCTGAACAGTGTCTGGGAGGCTGTGGTTGCTGCTGCACGCAATGTTGATGGTGAACAGATCAAAACACTGACAGAATCCATGGATGGCAGGCTTTTGAGTGTCCTTGCAAAGAAAGGTGGCTATATTGGTCACTGATTTGTTTTTGTTTTGTTTTTGAATGTCAGAAATGTATATTTGTGAATGTTGAGATGTTATATTGGTTTCACTGGTAATAATAAATAATTGAAATGGGTATATATTTGTTTTTTGTTAAGTTGCCTAATAATTATGCACAGTAATAGTCACCTGCACACACAGATATCCCCCTAACATAGCTATAACTAAAAACAAACTAAAAACTACTTCCAAAAATATTCAGCTTTGATATTAATGAGTTTTTTGGGTTCATTGAGAACATGGTTGTTGTTCAATAATAAAATTAATCCTCAAAAATACAACTTGCCTAATAATTCTGCACTCCCTGTATATTCATTCCAAGCACTACAGATGTGGTGTATAGGTGTATAAGCTTTGTGAGTGCAAGACTGGGTATTCTCAGGCCTTCCAGGTGTACGAGTGAAAGGATAGCTACTTTGACCCTCCAGGTTGCCCAGAACATATGGGAACAAGTGGCACGATTGTCTGGAACCTGATATTCCCCCTGATGAACAAAAGGTACCACTTGTATACAGTCAATTTTTATACAAGTGTCCCTTTGATAAAGCTTCTGTATTGTTTTGATACAGTAGCTTGCGGTACAATCAAAAAGAACCGCACAGGTTTTCCAGGACAACTTGCACGCACCTGGCTACGAAGGGGGAAGACCTCAGCTCTGCTCCAAGAGGAGCTGTTGTCAGTTAAGTACAAAGACAAGAAGGATGTGTACCTTCTTACCACCATCCACACTGAGAGGACTGTGGAGGTTTCTGTACGTGGCATAGCTGAGAGAACAAGGAAGCCAGTGTGCATCAAGGCCTATAACCAGCATATGGTTGGGTTTGATCTGGCTGCAGCCCTACCTAATTATATGAAAGACAAGGACCTGGTACAAAAAGGTTACAATTTACTTAATGCAGATTGCAACCCAAAACGCTTTTTTGTTGTGTAAAAAAGCAAACCCTGGAATTAAACAGATTTTTTACAGTTTCAGCTCCAGATCATTTTGGGGATTTTGTACCAAGATGCACCTGTTCCCCAGGAGGTGATTGGAGAGAGCAGAGTTGGGGCTACCCACATTATTTTTAAAATCCCCTCTATTGCGGCAAAGCAGATTCCTCTAAGAAGATGCAGAGTCTGTTTCTCTAAAAACAAGATTAGGCGAACACTGCCGTAACATTACAAATGGATACCAAAACCACACCGTATCCAAACATTTTTCTACCCATAACAACGATCCAGGCCATTTAAAATGTATTGGTATAAAAAAATGCACTATTCCATGGAGAGGAGGCAATATAAAAAATATTCTGGGAAAATGTGAAATGGAATGGGTTTTTAACTTAAAAACCTTAACTCCAAATGGTTTAAATGCTGATTTTGATTTATTTAATTTTATATAATATTGTATTTTTATCATTCATTAATGTCTGATTTTTATATTTTTTTATACTTTTATACCAACTTTTTGTTGATTAGTATTATACCTCACTCCATTATAAGTTTTAAGCTACATGTCCTTTTCAATTATTAATATGTTCCTATTATTGTTTCCCCTTGCTTTTTATGGAAATATGTTTATTTACAGCATATATGTTTCTTGCCACCTCCAATATGGCCACCGCTATGTTTTTCACATAGCTTACCAAAAGACCATTCCCCTACCTCGCCCTTTTTTCCCTTTACCTAGCCGTTTTTCAGCTATTTCCCTTCCCCCCCTCCCTCTCCTCTCTGGTCCACGGCCACTCCCCTCTTTTGAGCCTACCATATGGCTCTAAAAGTTGATACAACTACATGCCCCAGCATACCGAGCGACCGGAAGTGACGTCGCGCTTATGACGCACGTCACATGATTCAGGAAATATCAATAATATTCCTTTTATATACACCTCGTTTTTATACTATAATTAGATATTTTAAATCCTATTAGCTATATCTATGTATCTAAAATGTTTTTTGCTGTTTTGTGTGAGTAATTACAATCTGCTCTGTGATTGGTCAGAGCAGTTTTGGCGCAATTTTCAAAGGTTTTTCTAAGCCTATATATACCCTAACTAGCCAGGTTGACATGTTTTTAATCCATTGATAAAGCCTATATTGGTGAAACGCGTTTGGATATTGTACTGTTTTTTAATTACTGTCAATAAATAGATTTTGGTCATTTTATTCTTTTGCACCATTATCTTTTATTTATTTTTATTTTTTTTAACTACCTGGCTTTTTATGTATTGTCTCCTATACTCCAAAGAATCCCGAGGTGGGGATCATACCACCCGTGCCTATACCATAGAGCGGTTAGCCTGCCCTATACATTGTGAGTATATTTTATTATATTTTATATACCAGCATTATTTTACTGAGAGCACTATTGCTGTTTTATTATCTTCTCCCTGAGCTCCTGTTACCATCTTAAAGAACTATTTCAAAGAACGCTCACCACATATCCCAGAGGCGGGGATCATACCGTTGCATGCCTACTATACTAGAGCTAGTATAAGCTCTATTAAATGTGAGTGTATCTATTATATTTTAATACTTTTTATCCACTTTTGGGACATACTGCACTATCACTGCTTTTTGTTTTATCTTCCCCCTGGTTGCCTGTCACTACACTGAAGAGGAAGCTCACTGTATATCCTACAAGCGGGGATAATACCGCTGCAAGCTATTCATACCAGAGCTGGATTAAGCTCTACAAAAAGTGAGTATTATCTCTTCTTTTTTATTTGGATACCTTTTGGATCATTCTCTACCATCTCATCATCCATCGCCCTCCTCCATATATCAGTAAGGAGTAAAATTCCACAACTTCAGAGACCAACATAAGACCAAGTTTCATTACACTGGACTTTATTTCAATACCTTAATTAGGACTTTTTTAAATTTTGTTTATTGGTGCAGTCCCATCCTTCTGTTTGTTTGCTTTCCGTATTTATCTCAAGGACACTTGAGGGAGTCCTTGTTTGGGATTGCTGCCCTTTGTAACTCTTTCTGATATATTAGTGCTGACTCCACTCTCTGTTTTTTGTGATTATTTCTGATGACTTAAAGGTAGGCAGACAATGTAATAGAGCAGCAGGAAATGCTAGCAGAATGCGTGGTTGTATAGGGAGAGGTATTAGCAGTAGAAAGAGGGAAGTGCTCATGCCATTGTACAGAACACTGGTGAGACCTCACTTGGAGTATTGTACACAGTACTGGAGACCGTATCTTCAGAAGGATATTGATACCTTAGAGAGGGTTCAGAGAAGGGCTACTAAACTGGTTCATGGATTGCGGGATAAAACTTACCAGGAAAGGTTAAAGGATCTTAACATGTATAGCTTGGAGGAAAAACGAGACAGGGGGGATATGATAGAAACATTTAAATATATAAAGGGAATCAACACAGTAAAGGAGGAGACTATATTTAAAAGAAGAAAAACTACCACAACAAGAGGACATAGTCTTAAATTAGAGGGACAAAGGTTTAAAAATAATATCAGGAAGTATTACTTTACTGAGAGGGTAGTGGATGCATGGAATAGCATTCCAGCTGAAGTGGTAGAGGTTAACACAGTAAAGTAGTTTAAGCATGCGTGGGATAGGCATAAGGCTATCCTAACTATAAGATAAGGCTAGGGACTAATGAAAGTATTTAGAAAATTGGGCAGACTAGATGGGCCGATGGTTCTTATCTGCCGTCACATTCTATGTTTCTATGTTTCTAAAGCAACACTTGAGTGGTTTAAGGGGAAAAATGTAAATGTGTTGGAATGGCCTAGTCAAAGCCCAGACCTCAATCCAATAGAAAATCTGTGGTCAGAATTAAAGATTGCTGTTCACAAGTGCAAACCATCCAACTTGAAGGAGCTGGAGCAGTTTTGCAAGGAGGAATGGGCAAAAATCCTAGTGGTAAGATGTGGCGAGCTCATAGAGACTTTTACAAGGCGACTTGGAGCTGTGATTGCCGCAAAAAGGTGGCTCTACAAAGTATTGGCTTTAGGGGGGTGAATAGTTATGCAAATTGACTTTTTCTGTTATTTTGTCCTATTTGTTGTTTGCTTCACAATTAAAAAAAAAATCTTCAAAGTTGTGGGCATGTTCTGCAAATTAAATGATGCAAATTCTCAAAGAATCCATGTTAATTCCAGATTGTGAGGCAACAAAACACAAAAAATGCCAAGGGGGTAAATACTTTTGCAAGGCACCGTAAATAAAATTGGGGTACGTGATTGGCCCAAGCTAAAGATGGGCCTATCAGAAGAAATACTCTCAATTTCAATTCAAATTACAAGTCATTCAATTGTAACTGAACCTCCCAAACATCCTGGCAAACATATGCATGGGGGCAAGGATGTACTCAAAAGGCCTTGCGGAAAACAACCTGGAGTGTTTTCTTGCAATAACCAACAACAGGCTCCCCTAAATCACACACAAATGTGTGTGTAAAAATAAATATTTTAAAATTACCAGACCACATTTTCTCCAATTTTTGGAGGCTAGAACAGTTGCATCAAAACACTCCATATACAATACCTTGGGGTGTCTTCGTTTCAAATATATGCTCGTTCATTGCAAGAAAATAAAGTGGGATATGTAAAAAAGCCCCCAAAAAGAAGATAGGCAAAGATGGTATGTTAAATTTGAAAAACATAGGTCAGAAGTTCGGCATTGCATCCCCCGAACAAAACCAACAAACCTATGCATAGGTGGTATCACTGTACTCAGGAGATGTTGCTGAACACATGTTGGGGTGTTCTTTGGCAGTGATACATAACAAGGAGCTGCCTAAAGTACAATGTGTGTGAAAAATAACAAAAAAAGAAATTACTACCCAAATGTTTGAGAAAGACTGATGGTAGAATTAGTGCATGGAAAGTGTTAAAACACCACCATATTTTAGCTGGCCTACCCACAGAGGGACCTCTACCTGGGGGACCCCAGGGGACCTCGCTATGACATTTTGCTTCCCCACGTGCAACCTCAAACGTATTTTCTTTTGGCACTACTAATCCTAGAGCAGACATGCAATTAACCTATTCAGGCAAATATAGCTACACCACATATATACATTCTGTTAGCTCTTGAAGCAGCATGACAATTATATGTCCAGATAGTACAGCAATGTTACCTTATGCACTAAGCAAGACTCTGCTATGTTCAGCTAGCATGTTAATCCCACAGGTCACAGGATTAATCAGTTTACTATACTATTAAACACTGAGGCAGGCAGATTTTCTGTGTAACCATGTTCTATAAAAAAAAAAAAAAGTGCTGTTTAGATTTGGCATGATACTGTAAAATGTTGAATATGTTTTATTTCACCAACTTGGACCTGCTATCCTGGCGATACAAGTGTATGTGTTCAAACTATGCACTGCAAAAATAAAGAATTAAAAAAAAATACCACCATTTGAAATACCCTAGGGTGTGTACATTTAAAAAATATATGGTTTGATGGGGTAAGTTACATTGGCTGGCTTCCCAAATAGGACATGATGACCAGATGTGAAAATTCCAAGTTAGAAAACTGGAATGCGCACACTCCAAATAAGGTATTTTAGCCCACCGAGAACCCAACACACCTATACATGGGGTGTATCACTGTACTCAGAAGATGTTGCTGAACACTCATGGGTTAACAATGGGATGTACACTTTTGACAATGTTTACTTCCCTAACTCTATCAATATACATTTAAAAAAAAAAAAAACTATAATAAAAGTTTCCAAGGATTTCAAGGGTAGATTGATTATTGGGGAAGATACAAATTTTGTTTTAGATTGCGTTCAGGACATTGTCAGAGAAACTGATCATGTTAAAACAAATTACAATACTGAAAAATTGGCTGATTTATGTTCTAAGTTCCTTTTTTCCATAGGTCTCTTTGATTGCTTGCGCAAACATCATGAAAAAGAGAGGGACTACACATACCTATCAAGAGTTTGTAATATGTACAGGACATACTTGAAAATGAGAGAAATCTCAATGTATCTTTCCTGGCAAAATATTTTATAAATAAATGTACTCTATAATTGGCAGGTTCTTGACAGGAGAGCATAATATTCAATGTATACTCATGTCTGACATTTTGGACATAACCTGGTCAGGTAATGCCCCAGTGATTAACATGTTGAGGAATCCCTTTAATCAAACCCTAATAGGTCATGGTGACTGAGTGACTACGTAGTCACAAATTTTGGAAAGAAAGTTGCTAGCAGAAAAGGTGCTTGATTATTTTACAGACAATTTAAATATATTTAAATATTAATATTTCTTCATTATGGAATGTTTATAAGGGTGTTCTAAGAGGTAATTGCATACAGCAAGCTTCAAATTTGATCCAAAAATTTGAAAGATTTCGAAAAATAACGCTATAACTTATATCAGGCAAACAAATTTGGCCCTTCACCCTCTCTTGCTGCAAAGATCTTTGAAGTTAAAACTAAAATTGACATGATTCAATTGGAACATACAGCATTGATGTTAAAGAGACGTAAACAATTATTTTAATCAAAAGGTAATAAGGCTTCCTCTTTATTAACCTCTAAGTTATGACATAGACTCTCCCATCCAAGGATTGAGCACTTATTGACTGAAGACCGAGGTAAAATAACTCATCCAGTTGCAAAAAGTAATACTTTTGCTGGTTATAACAAAACACTTTATAATTTAACATTTGATTCTGATGTGCAGCATCCTACATTTGAAAAGATTAGCTTTTTCTTGGATAAGTCTCCAGAGAAAAATTAATAAATTGGATACTCTAAATTCTCCCATTTCTCAAAAAGAAATCACTGACGCCATAAATATTATTCCTGATGGAAAAGATGCAGGACCTGATGGTTTGACCATGACATATTATAGCTCCTTCTCTGGTATTTTAACTCCCCATTTAGTTAAATCATTTAATCATTATTGGCCAATTGGTGAAATGCCAGGGCAAGCATTATGCACTCAAATCATAACATTGCCTAAACCTGGTAAAGTGTATCTTTCCTGGTAAACTAATGCATCTTTCCTAGTATCTTTCCTGGTTTGTCCAAATTTTCACCCCATTTCTCTAATAAATAACTCTACTAAATTATATAGAAACATTTTAGCTAACCAGCTTGCTAAAGTGCTTCTATCTTTCATTAACTTTGACCAGGTAGGCTTTGTTTTAAATCATCAGGCCCCCGACAAAACAAGGCATTTTATTAATTTGATCCACCAAATCAAATTGAATCGCACGCCTACTTTGATTCTATCTTTAGATGCATAGAAGGCGTTCGATAGAATTCGTTGGGGTTTTCTAAGGGAAGTCATGTCTTGATTTAATATTACAGATCCTTTCATCAGGGCTGTGTTTGCTTTATATTGCAATCTTTTACTTTATCCAATGGAACCAGACAGTGTCACCACTCTTTTTTGTGCTGGCAATGGAAACCTTGGCAGAGGCCATAAGACAATGTGCAAATATAGAGAGGATTGTGGTAGGAGACAGAACAAAAAATAGGCCTCTTTGTGGATGACATTATGTTGTTACTTAAAAATCCTTTGACCTCTATTGAACCTCTAATGCCCATCCTGCAAGAATTCTGCAAAATTTCATACTATAAATTGAATACTAACAAAACCTCGTGCACTTTTTTCATCCCATGGCAAAAATTGGATATTTTAAAAGAAAGCTTTAACTTTGACTGAAGGGATGCCTACTTATCTTACTTGGGCATTAGTTTGTGCAAAATCCTGTCAAAGATGCATACTTACTACTTGGCTAAAACCTTGCCCATTCTTAGGGAAGATATTGAAAGGTGGTGTAGTCTTGAAACTTCATGGTTACACAGGATAATTTTGATAAAAATGACTCACCTTCGCAAAATATTTTATATTATTAGAGCTATTCCCCTTAATATAACTTTCTCTTTTTTTTTGGAATGTTCATTCTACTCTCCTGGAATTAATTTGCAACAAAAAACACGTAGAATCAAACTTGCTATTTTGCAAAAACCTTGTGGAGTTTGTGGAGGTATGGGTTTACCAAACTTTATATACTATTATTTGGTGACCAATGCTCCTGCAGCCCTTAAATTTAATCTGGAGCATGCTTGTCTTTGTGGCTAAAGATGGAGGCTGCCAAGATTTTACCTTACTCCAATCAATCAATTAATACATACAAAGCGCTGGTGTAGTTGTCCAAAGTGCGTTTCGCCGATTCCGTTCGGCTTTCTCAATTGGATGACTACAACAGCACTTTGTATGTATTAATTGATTTTAATTTTCTGAATACAATAAATGTAAACTCAAAGCCAGGTTGCAGGCTCTTAATAAGATGAGAAACAATCTGTATTTTTACACTATTATACATATTGTGGTTATGTCCTAAATGAAAAACATATTGGGCCAATATACACACACTCATACACCTTATTACAGATCAAATCCCACACATTACACCCAAATTGTGTCTCCTGAAGAAATTGAAATTGTTTAAA